AGCCCCTGGGCTTGAGTTCTAGCTCTGTCTTCAATTACAGTTTCCTGCTCATGCATATGTTGGGAGGCAGCAGCTAATGGCTCAAGTACCTGGGTCAATACCACCTACATTGAGTTCTGGGTTCCTAGCTTCAGCCTGGCCCAGTCCTGGGTAACCACAAACTTTTGGGAAGTGAACCAGCAGATGAAGTTCTTTCTCTGTTTCCCTGCCTTTCAAACTAAAAATAATGTATTTTTAATTTTAAAAAAATCCTCAGAGTCAGCACTACAGCATAGTGGGTAAAACCACAATGCTGGCATCCCAGTGTCCTGGCTGCTCACTTCCAATCCAGCTCCCTGGTTGGCCTGGGAAAAGCAGCAGAAGATGGCCCAAGTGTTTGGGCCCTGCCACCCATGTGGAAGAACCAGATGAAGTTCCTGGCTTCAGCCTATTCCAGCCATCTGGGGAGTGAACCGGCAGATGGAAGAACTCTCCTCCTCTCTCAGTAACTCTGACTTTCAAATAAATAAAAAAAACTTCTAGAAAAAAATTCATCTGGTTAAAAACTTTTAACTTTTACAACAAAATCACCACAGTCAAAAGACATTTTTTCTTAAAATATAAAGGGTCCATGAAGTTTTTATTTTTTAAGATTCATTTTATTTATTTGAAAGGCAGTTAAGGGGCCGGCACTGTGGCGCAGCAGGTAAAACTGCCGCCTACAATGCCAGCATCCCATATGGGCACCAGTTCGAGTCCCAGCTGCTCCACTTCCGATCTAGCTCTCTGCTATGGCCTGGGAAATCAGTAAAAGACGGCCTAACTCCTTGGGCCCCTGCACCCGCATGGGAGACCCAGAAGAAGCTCCTGGATCCTGGCTTCGGATCAGCGCAGCTCTGGCCGTTGCAGTCATTCAGGGAGTGAACCAGCAGATAGAAGAGCTTGCTCTCGCTCTCTCTCTCTCTGCCCCTCCTCTCTCTGTGTAACTTTGATTTTCAAGTAAATAAATAAATCTTAAAAAGGGGGGGGGGGGCTGGCATTGTGGCACAGCAGGTTAACGGCCTGGCCTGAAGCACTGGCATCCCATATGGGCGCCGGTTCTAGTCCCGGCTGCTCCACTTCCCATCCAGCTCTCTGCTATGGCCTGGGAAATCAGTAGAAGATGGCCCAAGTCCCTGGGCCCCTACACCCATGTGGGAAACCCAGAAGAGGATCCTGGATCCTGGCTTTGGATCAGTGCAGCTCCTAGCCATTGTGGCCAATTGGGGAATGAACCAGCGGATGGAAGACCTCTCTCTCTCTCTGCCTCTCCTCCTCTCCCTATGTAACTGTGACTTTCAAATAAGTAAATAAATCTTGAAGGAAGGAAGGAAGGAAGGAAGGAAGGAAGGAGGGAGGGAGGGAGGGAGGGAGGGAGGGAGGGAGGGAGGGAGGAAGGAAGGAAGGAAGGAAGGAGGAAGAAGGAAGAAGGAAGAAGGAAGAAGGAAGAAGGAAGAGGAGGAGCTGGGACTATAACCGGCACACAGGGATGGTGGCACTGGAGGCAGAGGCCTAGCCCACTATTTTCTTTTTTTTTAAATGTATTTATTTATTGGAAAGGCAGAGTTGCAGAGGCAGAGAAAGAGACAGGTCTTCCATATGCTAGTTCACTCCCCAAATGGCCACAATCAACAGAGCTAGGTGGATCCAAAGCCAGGAGCCAGGAGCTTCTTCTGGGTCTCCCACATGGGTGCAGGGGCCCAAGCACTTGTGCCATCTTCTACAGCTTTCCCAGGCCATCAGCAGGGAGCTGGATTGGAAGTGGAGCTGCCAAGATTCGAAACAGTGCATATACAGGATGCCAGTGTTGCAGGCGGATGTTTACACCACAGCTCAGCCCCATATTTTTTTAAATGTTTATTTTCATTGACTTGAGATTGAGAAAAAGAAGGGGGGGGAGGAGAGGGGGTGGGAGAGGGAGGGAGGGAGGGAGGGAGGGTGGGAGAAAGGGAGAGAGATGGATATATCTTCCATCCTGTGACTCCCCAAAACCTAAAACAACTGAGTCTGGGATTCAGGCCAAACTCAGGAGCCCAGAACTCTACCCAAATCTCCCAAATAGGTGGCAGAGTCCCAAGCACTTAAGTCATCTTCTGCTGCCTCCCGGGATGCAAAAGTAGGAACCTGGATAAGAAGCAGAGTAGCCAGGACTCAAATTGGCACTCTAATAAAGAATATAGGCACCCAAGGCCGGCACCACAGCTCAATAGGCTAATCCTCCACCTGTGGCGCCGGCATCCCGGGTTCTAGTCCCAGTTGGGGCGCCGCATTCTGTCCCGGTTGCTCCTCTTCCAGGCCAGCTCTCTGCTGTGGCCCGGGAAGGCAGTGGAGGATGGCCCAAGTCCTTGGGCCCTGCACCCGCAAGGGAGCCTGTTAAGTAGGCTCTTTTGTCATTTAGCTCCTGGCTTCAGATCAGCGCAGAGCGCCAGCTGCAATGCGCCAGCTGCAATGCGCCGGCTGCAGTGCGCCGGCCACGGTGGCCATTGGAGGGTGAACCAACGGCAAAGGAAGACCTTTCTCTCTGTCTCTCTCTCACTGTCTAACTCTGCCTGTCAAAAAATAAAAATAGGCCGGCGCCGCGGCTCACTAGGTTAATCCTCCGCCTTGCGGCGCCGGCACACCGGGTTCTAGTCCCGGTTGGGGCGCCAGATCCTGTCCCGGTTGCCCCTCTTCCAGGCCAGCTCTCTGCTGTGGCCAGGGAGTGCAGTGGAGGATGGCCCAGGTGCTTGGGCCCTGCACCCCATGGGAGACCAGGAAAAGCACCTGGCTCCTGGCTCCTGCCATCGGATCAGCGCGGTGCGCCGGCCGCAGCGCGCTGGCCGCGGCGGCCATTGGAGGGTGAACCAACAGCAAAGAAAGACCTTTCTCTCTGTCTCTCTCTCTCACTGTCCACTCTGCCTGTCAAAAAAAAATAAATAAATAAATAAAAATGAAAAAAAAAAAAAAAAAAGAGTATAGGCACCCAAAGCTACAGCTCAACCTGCTACACTACAACATCCACCCCTTAATCCACTTTATAGATGAAGAAACTATAGAAAGAAATGGAATCAGGATTCATGAGTCTATATTATATTCTTTTTTCACTTATTTTACATGTACAATTTTAGTAAATTTAGAGTTGTATTACAATCTAATTTAAAACATTTCCATCACCCCAAACAGAAACCTGATACACATTTACACTTACTCTCTGTTCCTACCTCCAGTCCCAGTCAACTACTAATCTGCTTTGTCTCTACGGACTTGTCTTTTCTGAACATTTCATACAAATAGACTTATAGGATAAACAGAATTTGTCTGGCTTATTCCACTTAGAATAATATTTTTGAGAGATGTTTATAACACGTATCAAAACTTCATTCCTTATTATTGTTAAACAGTATTCCATCATATATAGACCACATTTTGTTTATCCTTTTACCAGCAAAAGTTCATATAAAGTTGCTTGCATTTTTTGGCTATTGTGAATAATGTTCCTATGTATGAAAATTCATGTATGAATATTATTGTGGATATATATTTTCATTCCTCTTGGGTAGATACATACTTAGGAGCAGAACTGCTAGGTAATAGAGTTAATTTATGTTTACTTTTTAAAGATTTATTTTTTTGGAGGCTGGCGCTGTGGCACAGTAGGTTAAAGCCCTGGCCTGAAGCACCAGCATCCCATATGGGCACCGGTTCTAGCCCCAGGCTACTCCTCTTCTGATCCAGCTCTCTGCTATGGCCTGGGATAGCAGAAGAAGATGGCCCAAGTCCTTGGGCCCCTACACCCAAGTGGGAGACCCAGAAGAAGCTCCTGGCTTCAGATTGGCACAGCTCCGGCCATTTTGGCCATCTGAGGAGTGAACCAGCTAATGGAAGACCTCTATGTCTCTATCTCTCTCTGTAACTCTGTCATTCAAATAAAATAAATCTTAAAAAAAAAAAAAAAAGATTACTTTCTTTGAAAGGCAGAGTTAGAGACAGAGAAAAGGAAACACAGAGAGAAATCTTCCATTTGCTGGTTCACTCCTCAAATAGCTGCAACAGCTGGGACTGCGCCAGGCTAAAGCCAGGAACCAGGAGCTTTTTCGGGTCTCCCATGTGGGTGGCAGCGGTCCAAGGATGTGGGAAATTCTCTGCTGCTTTCCCAGGAGCATTAGCAGAGAGCTGGATTGGAAGTGGAGCAGCTAGGACTTGAACCAGCACCAATATGGGATGCCAGCACTGCAGGCAGCCGCTTAACCTACTGTACCAGAGCCCCAGTCCATTTAACTTTTAAAGAAAATGTCAAATCATTTCAAAGTAATTATATCATTTTACATTCACATCAAATATTCCAAAAAATACAGTTTTTCCCCACACCTTCACTAATACTTGTCTATTACTTTTATAGACCAAATAGGCAAATATTAAGTTGTTAAGACCACATGGCACTGGCGCTGTGACGCAGCGGGTTAAAGCCCTTGCCTGAAGTGCCGGCATCCCATATGGGCGCCAGTTCTAGTCCCGGCTGCTCCTCTTCCAATCCAGCTCTCTGCTATGGTCTAGTATAGCAGTGGAAGATGATCCAAGTCCTTGGGTCCCTGCACCCATGTGAGAGACCCAGAAGAAACTCCTGGCTCCCAATTTCGGATCAGCGCAGCTCCGGCCCTCTGCAGCCGTCTGGGGAGTGAATGAGCAGATGGAAGACCTCTCTCTGTCTCTACCTCTCTCTGTAACTCTGTCTTTCAAATAAATAAAATAAATCTTAAAAAAAGAAAAGACCACATATATCTGTTACTTTAGGCCATATTGTCCTTCGTATATGTAAAACTCCGCCATCTCTCAAACATTAACTCATGACATAAACCAAGACTGAATAAAACGTGAATGTGCTCATTAAATGAAAACCATATATTTACATGAATTGCTCTTACATAACTCTAGTTCAAATTTAAAAAGGCATACACACTATATATACATATGCACATAATATCACTTAGAAATGGCACACATACCTAATTTTAGTTCAATTGCTGTATTGGTATTACATTTGTACTCTGCCAGTTTCTTCTCCACTGCGCTCTTGTATTCTACCAAAAATTTCTCCATAGCACCAAATCCTTAAAAAAAAAAAAAAGTTTTTTTAAAAGATGTACTTGGAAGTGATTTACATAGTCAACATACCAATAGGGTTCTTATTATAAGTAGAAAAAGGATAAGATGTTAACAGCTCACAAAAGTATAGGTTATTCTGTACATATTCCTCAATAAGTGTACCCCCCAGTATTATAAAAAAGAAAATCACTTTGGAAACACAGGCTAATGAACTAGGCACACTTTACATGAATAAGCCTAAAAATTGGCATGACATATTACTGACACTTTTGAACACTTAATACTTATACAGGGGCCGGTGCTGTGGCTTAACAGGTAAAGCTGCTGCCTCCAGTGCTGGCATCCCATATGGGCGCTGGTTCCAGTCCTGGCTGCTCCACTTCCAATCCAACTCTCTGCTATGGCCTGGGAAAGCAGAAGATGGACCAAGTCCTTGGGTCCCTGCACCTACGTGGGAGACCCAAAGAAGCTCCCAGCTCCAGGCTTCGGATTGATGCAGCTCCAGCTACTGAGGCCAGTTGGGGAGCCAATCAGCGGATGGAAGATCTCCCTCTCACTCTCTCTCTGCCTTTCCTTCTCTATCTGTGTAACTCTTTAAAACAAATAAATCAATCTCTAAAAAAAAGACCAGCGCCCCGGCTCACTTGGCTAATCCTCCGCCTGCGGCATCCTGGGTTCTAGTCCCGGTTGGGGCACTGGATTCTGTCCCGGTTGCTCCTCTTCCAGGCCAGCTCTCTGCTGTGGCCTGAGAAGGCAGTGGAGGATGGCCCAGGTCCTTGGGCCCTGCACCTGCATGGCAGACCAGGAGAAGCACCTGGCTCCTGGCTTCGGATCAGCACAGCACGCTGGCTGTAACAGCCACTTGGGGGAGGGAACCAATGGAAAAAGGAAGACCTTTGTGTCTCTCTCTCTCTCTCTCTCTCTCACTGTCTAACTCTGCCTGTCCAAAAAAAAAAAAAAAACAACCTTATACATGGGGCAAGCACTGTGGTGTAACGGGTAAAGCCGCCTCCGCCTAGATGCTGGTTCAAGTCCCGGCTGCTCCACTTCCAATCCAGCTCTCTGCTGTGGACTGGGAAAGCACTTGGAGGATGGCCCAGGTCCTTGGGCCCCTGCACCCATGTTGGAGATCCAGAGGAAGCTCCTGGCTTCGGATCCATGCAGCTCCGGCCATTTGGGGAGGGAACCAAAAAATGGAAGACCTCTCTCTCTAACTCTGTCTTTCAAATAATAAACAAATAAATCTTAAAAAAAAAAAAACTTATACGAATTACTTGTTAGATTTTATATCTAAATAAGTAGCCTTTTCAAAAAGAAATATAATACTAAAGGACATCCCTACTTCATTATCAAATATAAGAAACAAAGTAAGAATGTCAAGATAATTAAGATAGTACTTCACACCTATAACTAGAAAAATTCTACCCACAGGGCTCCAGATCAACTACTAAAAAAGTAGCATAACACATGGATTACTTCGAGAAGGATATACAAATTACTGGTAACCAAGGTTATCCCTGGAATAACAGAAAAGGAATAGGGACAAGGAAAGGAAGGAAATAAAATCCTTCTTCTTTATTAAACTTTTTTTACTTTGTGTGCATAGCCATAACTGGGCCACAGGAATGACCAAATGGTTTTACTACAAAGTAGTTACCCAACAATACACACAAAAATAAACAAAGAGGGCAAAAACTATTATCTTTTTTTTTTTTTTTTTTTTTTTTGACAGGCAGAGTGGACAGTGAGAGAGAGAGACCGAGAGGAGAGGAAGGTCTTCCTTTGCCGTTGGTTCACCCTCCAATGGCCGGCGCGCTGCGGCTGGCGCACCGCGCTGATCCGATGGCAGGAGCCAGGAGCCAGGTGCTTCTTCCTGGTCTCCCATGGGGTGCAGGGCCCAAGCACCTGGGCCATCCTCCACTGCACTCCCTGGCCACAGCAGAGAGCTGGCCTGGAAGAGGGGCAACCGGGACAGAATCCGGGGCCCCAACCGGGACTAGAACCCGGTGTGCCGGCGCCGCTAGGCGGAGGATTAGCCTAGTGAGCCGCGGCGCCGGCCTAAAAACTATTATCAAGAGAAACTTTCAGGCAAAGATGACAATAACTCTTTTGACAAAATGAAAATAAAAATCATCCGAAAATTCAGGAAATATAAGTGATGAGCACAAAACAGGGGTACAATAACATGCCAGGAACTTTCAAAATGGTTAAACACACATCACAAAAAATGGGAAAGACTTAAGACAATACAGATTAATGGAGTCAGAATTCCTGGATTCAAATCCAGACTCCACCATTATTTACTAGCTCTGTGAAACAGAGCACATTGCTTAACTTCTATGGCCCCAATCTATAAAACTGAAATTACTCTACCCACTAACATTTCTGTATAACCAAAGCAACAAAATGTAACATATGAAATCATGTATTAGCTTAATTTTCACAACTTTATAAGTAGGTATCGTATCACCTTGCTTCATATTCAAAATCGCAGGCTTAGAAAGAGATTTGGTTGAAATCATCGAACTACTAAGTGGTGGAGCTGAGATTCAAATTTAGATGTAATCCTTAAATTATGTACACCCTATACAGTACATATTACCCCATTTTTCTGTGCTACCAGTGTGCCCTAAGATCTTACAGTCTTGTGGAACCAATCTTCCTTAAACATCTGGAGAGTTCTCACTATATCTTGTCTAACCAATATCCATGAACCTGTAGCGAGACAACTACCAGGGCACTAGGGAAAAATGATAAATGAAACAGAAACCGCCCGTGACTTCAAAAGCTATGTAACTGGGAAAAAAGGACTATACTCACACCAAAACAGCCGTCATCCACGTACAACGGGCAGTTATAAGCTATGAAACATTATAAGCTGAGGGGACTCCATAAGGAGAGCAAAGTGCAAGAGAGGAGAATTAGACTACGGTGTTAACAGTCCTACGCTAAAAGAGAAGTTTAGATGAAGGCACAGTGCCTCTCTCAATGACATCTACATACGATGCCGGGAATATTAAAGCGTGAGGGACTAAGGAGACATGAAGAAGTGACTCAAGGCCCGAGAAGCAGCAGTGCGCTAGCTCAGAAGTGGGCTGCAGTGGGGAATGGGCAGAGCCCGAGAGAGGAGGAGCTGAGCGCTAAAATCAGCTGGCGAGCCCAAGACCAGACGTGTGCAAGGCAGCAGTGGGCAAAAGCAAAGGGAAAAGAAACAAGCCCCGGGACACCCGGCACTTTACTAGCCACAGCCGTGGCACTTTCCACGGCTTCTTCGGTCCTCGGCGGGCGCCAGGGCGTTCGCAAACGGCGCAGCAGCGCGAGCAGTTGGGGGCGGGGGCGCGGACCGCGGCCGACAACAAGCTCCGCGGAGAATTCCGCGCCTCTCGGCCAAAGCAGGCCTTCTGGAACCCAGGCTAGAGCCCCAAAGTTCCAGGCGGGCACTGTCACCGTGGTCTCGGCGTTCTTCCCCCAGTCTGTCCACCTCCTCCCCTTGGTAAACTTTTCCCGGGAACTTACCCGCCATTTCCGAGCTGCGAGCAACGGCGGCTGAGGGAGGACGAATCAACCCGCGCGCTCCCGGGCCGGAAGTGACCTCACTGCCTGACGCATTTCCCCCGCCCATCCTCAGCGTGACGCTAGCCAATGAAAGGAAGAGCGTGGAGGCGCCCAGAGGCGGAAGCGCCTTAAGAGGCGGGGGCTAACGCGCCGAAGAATGCGCGGCCTGTTGCCTAGCCACCGCCAGTGCCGTCAGCCGCGTTGAAGGCCTGAGGTGAAGGAGGAGGCCGCGGCTGGAACCTTCTCTGTTGAGAAGCATGCCAGCTGGAAGAGAGTTTCTTTGGAGTTGATTTCAGTAATACGGACACCACACCCTTCCCTCTCCGCACAAGTGATGTTTTGGAGACTGAAAATTTTATAGCCACATCGGTAGCGCTTAGTTTTTACCTATGTGAAATGTAGGGGTTGAGTTTTCTGAAATAGAATTTTCACTTCCTATTTTCCTTGTTTCTGCTTTTTCCGGGAATACTTTTTAAAGAATGATTTATTCATTTGAGAAACAGTTAAGAGAGAGAGGAAGAGACCGAAAGATATTATTTCCGCTGGTTCGCTCCCAAAATGGCCGCAAGAGCTGAAGCTGGGCTTGTGGGAAGCCACAAGCTTCTTGGGGTCTCCCACGTGGGTGCAGGGGCCCACTTGGGCCATCTTCCGCTGCTTTCCCAGGCAGATTTGCAGAGAGCTGGACGGGAAGAAGAGCCGCTGGACTCCAACCGATGCCCTTTTGGGATGCCTGTGCTACAGGCAGAAACTTAACTATACCACAATGCCCAACCCCCACCCCCAAATACTTCACAGTTTTTCCTTTCATGTTTTTAACGCTATACAGTGTAATGTGTAGGCACTCTGCTTTCATTCTTAAGGTTACCAGGCAACCATTCAGCACTGAAATCATTACCTAATAATATCTCCTGTGGCCTGACCTAGCCTTCCAGGTCTCCAGTGCTGCTGACTTGAACAATGTCAAATGCTACTTGATTTTGGTGATAGGCCCTATTAGTATTTAGCAGCTGTTGAAGCCCTTGGATACGATAAGTCACGTTTTAAGCATCCACAAATATTCCCACAGTATTTATATACCAGAATATCTTGTCACAACAAATATTTGTCAAGAGGTCTTAGATGATACATACTAGAACTAAAATGGACACTGAGGATGATTGTCTGGAACTAATGCCCACTGTCATTTTACAGATGAGGAACCCAAAGCCCAGAAAAGACAAATCGCTCACATTTACCTTAGTATACACCCCCATGAAAGAGCTCAGTTCTCCAAGCAATTCAGTCCAGTACTGATTCGTTTGACTACGTAGAGATGACCCTCCTGAAGATAAAGCTCAAAAAAGGTATTCGAAATGCCCACTTTTTCTTGAAGCCTTAATGATATGCAAGAAATTAGTTATAATGTTAATACAGAAAACTGAAAAAAAATCGATGATACTAAAAACACTAAGTTAAAAAAGAATCTTTTTAAATCATTTGTTTCAAAATGGCAAGACGCAAGACTCTTCATTTTCTTCCAATATCACCTTATCTGTAGCTCAAGAATTCATGTCTTAACTGTTACAAATAAAAAGATTAGTCCTGTGACATTTTGTTTACTTAAAAGGAAGAAATATGATGAAACCTACTGATATATTGTGTGATATTTAATGTCATCTACCTGCATAGTTAGTTTTATATTCACATATAATTTTTAAATGTCACAGAAAACATGTTTATGTAGAGTTTACCTAAAATATAAAATAATGACTTTCAGAAAGGCAAGTAAAATTACCAAAGAGGAAAAAAAAGCATTCCCTTTTTTTTTATAGGGTTTTCCCCCTTAATTAATTCTCATATTTTACCCTGCTCTACAGGGTATTTAAGAAAGTGACCATTACAACCAGGTAATTTGTAAATTTCTACAAAAGGAATTTGCTTTCACAATATATATGGAAGAGGCAACATAGTCTTGTGGAAAATCAGTTCCCTGACAGTTCTACTACTTCATAGTTGTTTAGTCTTGTTTCATCTATTAAGTAGGATAATAGTATCTTTCCACTCACAACACTGAGTTGTTGTGAAGGGTAGATGGAATAATACTTATGAAATAGCTTTGTAAACTGTAAACTTTTTTGTAAGAATAAGATGATATTGCTTTGGGTTTTTTTTTGTTGTTTTTTTTTTTGACAGGCAGAGTGGACAGTGAGAGAGAGACAGAGAGAAAGGTCTTCCTTTTGCCGTTGGTTCACCCTCCAATGGCCGCCGCGGCCAGCGCGCTGCGGCCGGCGCACCGCGCTGATCCGATGGCAGGAGCCAGGAGCCAGGTGCTTTTCCTGGTCTCCCATGGGGTGCAGGGCCCAAGCACTTGGGCCATCCTTCACTGCACTCCCTGGCCACAGCAGAGAGCTGGCCTGGAAGAGGGGCAACCGGGATAGAATCCGGCGCCCCGACCGGGACTAGAACCCGGTGTGCCGGCACCGCAAGGTGGAGGATTAGCCTAGTGAGCCGCAGCGCCGGCCGATATTGCTTTCAACATTTATTGTCATATGAGAGGTCTGGTAAAGGGATTCTCACCAGAGAAAAGGGCCATGTTATACTATGAGGAATGACCTAGCAACATTATGGATGGTGCAGCCTTAAGTGCATCTTGGTAGCTTTGGGATCCGCAAGGAGGGAAGGCCTATACTTCCGGGAATGGAAAGTCCCTACTTATACTTTTGGGGAAGAAAAGTCCTTGTCAAGGTCCCTGCAGGTGCCTAAAGGTCAACCAGTGAGGATCAGACCCGCCTCAACCTTTTAACCCCCATGCCCTGAATCTATAAAAGGAGCTCTCCCAATCTCTGACATGAACTTCCCTGGCCCCTGCTCTGTTGCTCTGTTGGGATCCAGAAACCTCGCCCAGGAGCGGAACCCCAATAAAAGCCTGTGAATTAATTGATTCATCTGCCTGGGAAGATTTGTTACGCGCCAGGCACCTTGCACATCTAAACTGGTACGTTTTATCACCCTCTCTCTTTAAAAAAAAAAAAAAATTTAGTTTATTTGAAGGACAGAGTTACAGAGAGAGGTAGAGACAGAGAGAGGTCTTCCATCCATTGGTTCACTCCCCAAATTAGCCAGAACAGCCGGAGCTGCGCCACAATGCCGACCCCTCTCTTCTTCTTCTCCTCCCCCTCCCCCTCCTCCTTCTAGATTTATTTATTTGAGACCGTTGCTGTGGGGCAGTGCATTAACGCCCTGGCCTGAAGCGCCACCATCCCATAGGGGCGCCAGTTCGAGACCCGGCTGCTCCACTTCCTGTCCAGCTCTCTGCTATGGCCCAAGAAAGCAGTAGAAGATAGCCCAAGTACTTGGGCCCCTGAACCCACCTGGGAGACCTGGAGGAAGCTCCTGGCTCCTGGCTTCAGATCGGTACAGCTCCGGCTGTTGAGGCAAACTGGGGAGTAAACCAGCAGATGGAAGACCTCTCTCTCTCTCTCTCTCTTTCTGCCTCTCCTGTCTCTCTGTAACTCTGACTTTCAAATAAATAAGTAAATCTTTAAAAAAAGATTTATTGTTTAATTGAAAGAGTTACACAGAAAGAGAAAGAGAGGCAGAGAGAAAGAGGTCTTCCATGCACTTGTTTACTCCCCAGTTGGCCACAAGGGCCAGAGCTGTGCAGATCCGAAGCCAGGAGCCAGGAGCTTCCTCTGGGTCTTCCATTCAGGTGCAGGGGCCCAAGGACTTGGGCCATCTTCTGCTGCTTTCTCAGGCCATAGCAGAGAGCTGGATGGGAAGTGGAGCAGACGGGACTTGAACTAGTGCCCATATGGGATGCCAGCATGGCAGGAGGCTGCTTTACCCACTAAGCCACAGTGCCAGCCCCATTATCATGCTCTCTTGAACCCTCCAGAAAATTTTTTTACCTGCTATAAAAAAATACAGTTATCAGAACGTAGATGTAGGAAAAATAAGCTCTAAAAGAAAAATGCAGGTATTTAGTATGTCTTTATTTCAAAATATATATCTCTCCACAGACAAATAACAGCTAGGTAACTTATTTGTTTAACTTATAATGTTGTTATAATGAGGGTAGAATTATGAGTTTCAGGTTACAGAACAATTATCCAGAAATCTCCATCCAGCTAGAAAACAAAAAAAGATATAAAGTCATCCAGAAAACTGTAGTAACCCACATGAGAACTCCAATTTGAGTTCCAGGATCCTGGCTTTCACCTGTGTCGCTCCCCCCTCTTCATGGAGGAACGACACAGGACCCTGCGCTGTTCTTTCGTCTGCTCGGCCCTCCCCGGGTTTGCTGCTGGTTCTTCCCGGGTTGGCTACTGTCCCTTCCACCTCCGTGGAAGGGCGGTTCCCCCTGCCACATTCCCCACTTCCATGGGGGAGCGGCACACCGCCGGCCGGCTCTCTCGGGGGCTGCACAGGTGTTCCCCTTAGATGTTCCCCTTAGATGTTCCTGGTGCATGCCGTCTCTCTCCTCCTTTATAGTCCTCCTCCGCCAATCCCAACTCGGCTGCCCACACGCCGAGTACGCTGCTCTCCTCCAATCAGGAGCAGGTCCTGCTGTTTATTGGTTGAACTGGAGGCAGCTGTGTAGAAGCTGTTTTCTTCTCTCCCAGCGCCATATTGTGGGAGAGCAGATGCATAGAATAAGTCTTAATTCCAGTAACTTAGTCCAGTCCGGATTGCTCCCCACAGATCCCCCTTTCTTTTTATTTTTTGGCGTTGATACGCGCCTGTCTTTGGTGTCCCGCGGCACACACTCTGCTCTACTTGCTAGAGTTGCCACAGGTTCTTACAAGTCC